TCACCACCACGCAGGTGGGACAGATACTCACCACCACGCAGGTGGGATAGATACTCACCACCACGCAGGTGGGACAGACACTCACCACCACGCAGGTGGGAAAGACGCTCCACGACTACCACATTGAATTATAGATGGTGATGTATATATATATATATATATTGTAATAAGTATTTTACTTGTATATGTGCGTAACAGGAGTCCCGCCTCGTCTCTGGGGCAGTTCGTTCCACGCGTCCGCTCTACCTATATTTGAGCCAAAATGTAGCGCAGGGTGGAAATGATACCAAAAATTACATTAGACTTATACATCAATATATACACATAAGAGTTGAGAGTGCACTACGCTATATATATATACTTCAGCGTGCGCACACCAGTTCTTTTTTCCTTGAGTTATGATCTTCTCTATCGCGCGCGTGCTCCCTCAGCCAGGCGTAAGATGGTAGACACCGTGTCTAAACAGAAAATAATATCTCGCGCAATGTCACGAGTCTGCTGCAGCTTCGCCTCCTCGTGCAAGCGATGCAGGCATGGGGCCGCCACAAGCAGCATTTCTCTGAGAGCCGCGCGGGCCCCAGGTAAGAGATCTTCCACAGCCGCCAAGGGCTGTGGCGCTGTGCTCACGCCAACAAGGTCCGGACCTATTTCATATCCCTCATCCATGACCTTGCCCGCCGCAACGCGGAAAAGTAACAGAGGCTCAGTCGCCAACTGCTTGCCGCAGGTCTGTAGGATGCGCAAACAGAGGAGAGAGGTTACGCCCGTCTCTTCCTTCCCCCTCCGCACAACGTCCCAATGGATCTTGTGCTCCATCAACTCTAAATAGAGACTCCACTTCTCTCTGCACGTTTCCATCTCTATACGAACAGACCGCTTGAACCCAACCTTACGGAACGACATGTACAGACACATACGCGCACATACAATGCACAGACTTTTCCAAGGTACAAAACAATGCCACACGTCTCGCCGTATATATTTTTTTCACTGACGCAGGTACGCAGTCCCCATTGAGAGCTTCTGCTCACGCTCAAAGTAGCTTTGCGCGGATCTTGAGCAGGCCCTACCCTTTCCCTGCTTCACATAGGGAATCAGCTTCTCGCAGATCAACGCGTGGTTGGTCTGGTCTGTGGATCCTATAATCATCCGCCACTTCGAATCCTGAGTATCCCAGTAGCGAATATAACTCTTGTCTCGGTAATATTCCGAACGACAAGATCCCCATGACTTTGCCTCGAAAGCAAAATTGGGCTTGTTTGCCTGCGGTGCAGCCTCCGCGCAAACCTTTGCAGGTTTGGCCATCGGCTTGGAGCTTGCCGGTCGCTTCATGCTTTTGCACTGCGCCGGACGCTTCATAGGACGCTCCTTCCAATCTGCGTCGGCCTCCTTCTGCCCGTCTCTCTTGTTCTTGCTCTGCAACGTCTCTGCGTTTGTGATGGCCTGGGATGTCTTCTCTTCGGAAGTGTGGCCAGTGATGGCAGACACCAACTTTTCCTCAGCCTCTTCGACCTGGTTGCCCTTCTCGGGTCGCTGGGCCTTGACCTCTTCGACCTTGTTGCCCTTCTCGGGTCCCAGAGAACTGGAAGCTCGTGGGGCCTTACCCTCTTCCTCTTCGGGTTTGTTCGCTTCGTTCCAAGGGCTGTCCATCAGAGCCTTCGCGGTCGCCACATGGGGAGTCCCACTCTCCAAAGCCCCTGCAGCCAGTCCGCTGGTCAGGCCCTGAGCTCGTCCGGCCTGGCGCTGCGGTGCCCGCATGTTTTGCGGAAACAATTGCAGGTTGTGTAGGCCCTGCGGTGGCTGTTGCGCGTGTTGCAAAAGCTGCATAATAGCCATGCTCTGCGCAACCTGGTTCTGTGCAATCAAGTTGTTGCGAGGATTGTTCGGGTGCTCTGCGTGTGTCTGTCGCAGGCGCACCTGTGAAGCTTCTGCGGCCACAGCGTCCGCGCGAATCGGTCTCGACGCTGGGTCTGCTGGCCTCGTGCTCCCATGCGCGGCCTGGATCTCCTCTGGCAGATCTTCAAACCCGGCTGGCAAGCAAGGCAGTAGAGTGGTCGGATCCTTGTGCCACTTCTTCAACCTGGTGCATGTGCTGCGCCAGGTAGCTTTAAGCTCCTGTAGAAGCACATGA